CCCCCCCGCCTTAAGCAGGTAAAGAGGTTTAATTAAAATTCGGGTCTCCTCCAAACAGCAATATTTATGAGGATGGCACAGGTTAGCTTTGTTCTCGGGAAGGGCTTAATAGAGCCTTAATGGACTGACCCTCCCCGTGCGCCAGGCTGACTTCCATTCTCCGTGCGCCCACTCGAGGGGAGCAGAGCAAGAGCGGCTTTTATGCGCCTCGCATTCCCTTAAGCGGTTGCAATTTATCAGAAGCCTCTGGCAAACAAAAGGAGCGCTGAATGGGGAGAACACTCCAGGGCATAGAAATCTGTGTCGCCGTCCCCGTCCCCCCCTCTTTCCCCTCAACTTCTCTCTTGGGGAGGGGGCTTTCCTCCCCCTCCTCTTTTGTCATCGGATGGAGTCTCTCAACGAGAGCGAGTCGATGTTGTTATTTGGACAACATTCTTTTATGCCTCCCAGGAATGAAAAGATTATTCAAATATTCAATTAAAGCGTGAATAGGGTTTCTTCTCCAAACCAGGTGAGTTCATCACGCTGAACTCGCTATTGTGGAGCCAACACGGAGGAGGGAGCGTTGACATTTAGCAAGCGCGGCACCACTCTCTCTCTCTCTCTCTCTCTGTGTGTGTGTGTGTGTTTGTGTGCGTTTGCAAATGTTCTTTCTCTTCTAAATATGGAACTTACCAGAAAATGACTCGATAAAAAGATGCCATAATAGGAAAGGCTGATTACCAGCATGAGCTGGGAAAAGGGAGCAGAGTCCTCCCCGTTCCCTTTTTCTTGCACACTCTCTGGACCGCCTGGTCCAGGCTTCGCCCAACTGTCAATCATCATCATCATCATTTAATAACTTATTAATCGCCCTCCATCCGAGAATGCTCCAGGCGATTTACAGCTAAATTACAAAAGATAAAATACATACATACAAAAATTAAAAATTAACAGAGATCGAATAATGCTCTAGTGAAAAGCCAGGTGTCTTAAGTGCGAGAGTAAAAGGCCCGAAGTCACGCATGGCTCATCTCATGTAGGGCGGCCATAAGGAATAATCCCACAATAAGGCAGGAGGGGCAGCAATGGAGAAAGCCCACCTGCGCCTGGTCCTTTCCAAGGGCACTTCTCTAGGACCCGGTATATGGAGTAAGTCACGTTGGGATGGTCGTTGCGACCTCCGATGATGGGAGAAGGAGAGGCGGTCCCTAAGGTACGATGGACCCTGGCCGTAAAGAGTGTTAAAGGTCAGGACTAGCATCTTGTACAGGCCACAGTGGGACTCAGTTGGAAGCCAATGTCAATGTTGCAGCACTGAAGGTGTTCTATGGCATTATTTCATGGGCGTTCTTGTGAGTAACCTGGTGTCGTTTTCTGAACAATACGAAGCTTTCGGATCGTAGACATCGGAAGGCCCCCAAAAGATGGTGTTGCAATAGTCCAGCCTAGATGTGACCGTGGCATGGATGACAGTTGCCAGAGCCTCGTCAGATAGGTAGGGTGCCAGTTGCCTCGCTTGTTGTAGATGGAAAAAGGCCTGTTTGCTGGCAGCAGCGACCTGAGCTTCCATTGTCCAGCTGCGAATCCAGGATGAAACCCAAGCTCTTCACAGTGGTCGATGGAGAGAGGGCGGCACCATCGAAGGTGGGCAGCAGAGGAGTCAGACCTGCCAGAGAATCTCAGTCTTCGCCGGGTTCACCTTCAGTCTGCTAGCACGTAGCCAGTTCGACAGAGCTTCCAGACGTATGGTGAAATTGTCTGGAATTGACGTTGCTCGAAACACAGAAGGAGTTGGGTGTCGTCCGCATATTGATAGCAGTCTAGGCTGAAACTCCGAGCCAAACGAGCAAGGGGTCTAACGTAGATGTTGAAGAGAAGAGGAGAGAGAATTGCACCTTGGGGGACCCCACATAGGAGGGGGGATCTATCGGAGACTTGATCCATGTACTCCACGTGTTGACTCCGGTTCCAGAGAAATGAGTTGAACCAATTGAGGACCTGACCGCGAACTCCGGACATGGCAAGACGGTGAATCATTAGATCATAGTCGACGGTGTCAAACGCTGCGGTAAGGTCAAGAAGTACCAGTAGCGCGGATCCACCGTTGTCAGACTGGTGACGGAGTTCATCCGTAATGGCAACCAGGACTGTCTCCGTCCCATGACCCGGGCGAAAACCTGACTGGAAAGGGTCCAGGCCGGCTGTGTCATCCAGGAATTGCTGCAATGGTCCCAGTACAGCCCGCTCTCTCACCTTGCCTAAGAATGGCGGATTAGAAACAGGACGGTCATTGGCAAGGGTCATAGGGTCCAAGCTAGGTTTCTTCAACAAGGGACGGACCCTTGCCTCTTTTAGGTTGTCCGGAAAAAAACCCTGTTCAAGGTTAGTTAGGGGGAGGGGGAAGCTGGATGCAAACATTGGCTCCTGCCCCTCTACCGTTTTATTAATCCATGTTATGGTGCCCAACGACTTAAATCAAGACATAGTTTTCTAAGATCTAGAGACACTCCCTGCAACACCTCAGCAAGCCAAGTGTTGACCATCCTTCTGAAGGACAAGAGGGAGTGGCCGACCTGATCTCAACAGGAAGGTAGTTCCATAGCCAGGGAGCAATCACCGAGAAGGCCCTGTCTCTTGTCCCCACCAATCACGCCTGTGAGAATGGCAGGACGCAGGCCCGTAGCCAGGATTTTTCGGGGGGGGGGGGCTGAGTTTGATTCGAGGGTGGGCTGAGCCTGAGTGAAAGAGGGTCTACCCTAGCAAACCTTTTGTATCGTTACCCCAATACCCCCATGCATATGGGATATATTGAGTATGGTGATCAGATCATGATATGAATAAACATAACAGTTTAAATAATGCACCAGTAAGGCCTTTTTCGCGAACCACCATGAGAATTTGGGGGGGGGGGGCTGAAGCCCCTCAAGCCCCCCCCCTCCGGCTACATGCCTGGTTGATGTATTAGTAGCAGCCTTAATGAAAGGACCAAGGCATTGAAATCTCCGGCCTATTCTCTGTTCAGATATCAGCCAGCAAGTCAACGCCTTTAAATAAAAAAATAGCTTCCTATTTATTTATTTATTTATTTATTTCACAGTTTTGTATACCAAGCTTCTCAACCTCGTCGAGGGACTCAGCCCGGTTTACATATACATATAAAAACATATACATTCATTAAAATATCATATATCACAAATTACAAAACAACTTTAAAAACACTAAATATAAAACTACAGTGGTCAGTCGCCCTAATAAGATGGATCTATATCCACTTCCATCCAGAGTCCTATGGTGTTGTTTCTAAGATCTACAGAGACACTCGCTGGAACACCTCAGCAAGCAAGAGTCCAAAAGTGGCAGGCTCAAACCCAGAACCTCAATCAATGGCTGATACCAAATGAGAGACTCCCTCCTGGGCACAGAGAAGACTGGGCAACTTGGAATCCTAGAATCCAAGAGTTGGAAGAGACCTCCTGGGCCATCCAGTCCAACCCCATTCTGCCAAGAAGCAGGAATGTTGCATTCAAATCGCCCCTGACAGATGCCATAATAGGAATGGCTGATTATGGGCATGAGCTGGGAAAAGGGAGCAGAGTCCTCCCCGTTCCCTTTTTGTTGCACACTCTCTGGACTGCCTGGTCCAGGCTTTGGCCAACTGTCAATCCAAGCTTACTTTTTGCAGAGGGGGAAGCTGGATCCAAGCATTGGCTTCTACTCCTCTACAATTTTGTTAGTTGATGTTATGGTGTCGGTGAGCCTGGCCCATGACAAAGTGCAAAAAGGGTGCTCGATGCTCCAAGAAACGTACAAATATAGCCCAGATCTTACATCATAAGCGCAGAAATGTTAACACTCACAGAAGAGGAAGAGCAAAAGTAACTTGTGCATAATAATAATAATAATAATAATAATAATAATAATAAATAATACTTACTTAGGGCAATCCCTCGTAGGATGATGGTCCCCCAAGTGTAGTGTCTTGGCGGTGGGTCCGTAGGTGGCTGTGGACCCTATTCTTGATCCGCATCTTCTCCCACAGTGGGACATCAGTTTCCAGGTGGAAGGAGGTCCCGGTTGGGGTTGGCTTGATACGCCTTCCTCTTGGCACGTTTCTCTCTATCGTCCTCCATTCATGCAGCACTGCTGGTCACAGCTGACCTCCAGCTGGAGCGCTCAAGGGCTAGGGCTTCCTAGTTCTCAGTGTCTCTGCCAGAGTTTTTAAGGTTGGCTTTGAGCCCATCTTTAAATCTCTTTTCCTGTCCACCAACATTCCGTTTTCCGTTCTTAAGTTCAGAGTAGAGCAACTGCTTTGGGAGACGGTGGTCAGGCATCCAACAACGTGGCCGGTCCAGCGGAGTTGATGGCAGAGGACCATCGCTTCAGTGCTGGTGGTCTTTGCTTCTTCCAGCACACTGACGTTTGTCCGCTTGTCTTCCCAAGAGATTTGCAGGATTTTCCAGAGGCAGCGCTGATGGAATCGTTCCAGGAGTTGCATGTGACGTCTGTAGACAGTCCACGTTTCGCAGGCATAGAGCAGGGTTGGGAGGGGAATAGCTTTATAGACAAGCCCCTTGGTGTCCCTACGGATGTCCCGGTCCTCAAACACTCTCTGCTTCATTCAGAAAAATGCTGCACTTGCAGAGCTCAGTGTTGACTTTGGTGGAGAGGTGGCTGCCAAGGGAGTGGAAGTGGTCCACATTTTCTAATGTTGCACCATTAAGCTGTATCTCTGGCATTGGAGAGGGATTGGATGGTGACTGCTGGAAGAGCACATTGGTTTTCTTGACTTTTAATGACAAGCCAAGTTTCTCGTATGCTTCTGCAAAGGTGTTTAGAGTGGCTTGTAGGTCTTCTTCTGAATGCGCACAGACGATGTTGTCATCTGCATACTGATGCTGTTGTAACCTTGGTTTTGGCTTTCAGTCTGCTGAGGTTCAATAGATGATTTCCACTCCAGCTTCCCTTTCCTGGTGGGTCCTGCTCTTAACCCCGTCCCCCTTCCTTTTGCCTCGCTGCAGATGTGAAGTACGTGGAGAACTCAAGCCTGGTGAAAGAAGCGCAAGAGAAGGCCAACGCGGCCCTGATGGAGTACACGGTCTGCCACTATCCCCACGCCACGGACAAATTCCGGCAGCTGCTGCTCCGGTTGGCCGACATCCGGGCCCTCAGCATGCAGGCCGAGGAGTATTTGTACCACAAGCACCTGAGCGGAGAGGTCCCCTGCAACAACCTGCTGATCGAGATGCTCCACGCCAAGCGGACTTGAGAGCGCAGCCCGGGCAAAGCGATGGTGGCCGGCGCTCTCCTGGGAAGGATAGGTGGGCGCTGGAGAGGCTGGCGGGAGAGAGAGGGGGCCAGACAAGGGGGTCCCTTCCCCAACAGACACTTCCTCCCCGTATCCATGTCTTGACCCATGCCTCAGTGGGCAGGCATGCGTGTGTGTATATGTTGCAACAACTCTTGAGTGTCCCTCTTCTACGTTCACTGCATCCGCTCTCAGGTTCTTCTCTTCCTTGCGATCAAGGGATGGGAAAGGGTTTGGGGAGGGGGTGGTTTCGCTTGGTCGCTCTCCCCCTTTTCGCCAGGCTTGACTGAATGGGGCCGCCCCTAGATATTGCTCTGGAGAGGGATGTTCTGGAAGGACCTGCTTTGCATTGAGGGTGCAAGGGGGGAGCTTGAGGAAGATCCTTTCTTGGACTCAGGGACTCCCAGGCTCTCCATGTTGGCCGAGGAGGTTGAGAACTTCTGGTCAGTTAGAAGGTCACCTCTTCCCAGTTCTTGTGTTGAAGCACAAGGATGAGGTCCTATCAACAATCATGCTCAGTTAGAAGGTCACCTCTTCCCAGCTCTTGTGTCGAAGCACAAGGATGAGGTCCTATCAACAATCATGGTCAGTTAGAAGGTCACCTCTTCCCAGTTCTTGTGTTGAACCACAAGGATGAGGTCCTATCAACAATCATGGTCAGTTAGAAGGTCACCTCTTCCCAGTTCTTGTGTTGAAGCACAAGGATGAGGTCCTATCAACAATCATGGTCAGTTAGAAGGTCACCTCTTCCCAGTTCTTGTGTTGAAGCACAAGGATGAGGTCCTATCAACAATCATGGTCAGTTAGAAGGTCACCTCTTCCCAGTTCTTGTGTCGAAGCACAAGGATGAGGTCCTATCAACAATCACGGTCAGTTAGAAGGTCACCTCTTCCCTACTCTTGTTGAGGTCCTATCAACAATCACTTTGTGGTTGCATGGCCTAAGACAATGATGTCTTGTCTCCAAAGGACTTGGCTTCATGGGTCTGCTGGAGGTTGGCTTATAGTAAGACCAGAGTAGGGTCATCTTCTGGATGTTTTGAGTGACAGTTCTCCCACTCCCTTACTATTGGAGAAGCTTAGCAGTGGGGCATGGACTTGTAGGCTGAGATCTTATTTGATGCTGGTGGAGCATATAGGGCAGACATGGGTCAACATGGGCCCTCCAGGTGTTTTGGACCTCAACTCCCACCATTCCTAACAGCCTCAGGCCCCTTCCTTTCCCCCCTCAGCCACTTAAGCGGGGGAAAGGAAAGGGCCTGAGGCAGGAATGGTGGGTGTTGAAGTCCAAAATACTTGGAGGGCCAACTTTTGCCAATGCCTGATATAGGGCCATGACTACCCAGCGGTTGAGTGAGTGCTTAGGGGTTCCCTCCAAACAGTCAGTATTTCTTCAAGCTGAGAGTGGAGATGTGCTTCGTCCTTGTCTAAAGACAAAAGTAATGCACAAGGAGGTATGGAATACCTCTTTACACAAGGTCTGAACCTTGAGTTGTGCAGAAGTTAAGTTGGAGGAGTGTTCAGCCCTTCAAACAGTCAGTGTCTGTTCAAGCTGGGAGTGGAGATGTTCCTCACCCTTGTCCGGAGAGTTTTGGGATCTAAAGGCAAAAGTAATGCACAAGGAGGTATGGAATACCTCTTTACGCAAGGTCTGAATCAGGAGTTGTGCGGAAGTTAAGCGGGAGGAGCTTTCAGCCCTCCAAACAGTCAGTGTCTATTCAAGCTGGGAGAGGAGATGTGTTCTATCCTTGTCTGGAGAGGATTGTGATCCAAAGACCAAAGTAATGCACAATAAGGTATGGATTACCTCTTTACACAAGGTCTGAATCTTGAGTTGTGCAGAAGTTAAGTTGGAGGGGCTTCCAACCCTCCAAACAGTCAGTGAGTGTCTTTTCAAGCTGCGAGATGTGCTCCATGCATGTCTGGAGACCATTGGGATCTAAAGACCAAAGTAATGCGTAAGAAGGTATTGAATACCTCTTTACTCAAGGTCTGAATCATGAGTTGTGCAGAAGTTAAGCCGGAGGAGCTTCAAACCCCCCAAACAGTAAGTGTCTTTTCAAGCTGGGAGATGTACTCCATGCATGTCTGGAGAGCATTGGGATCTAAAGGCAAAAGTCATGCACAAGGAGGTATGGAATACCTCTTTACGCAAGGTCTGAATCTTGAGTTGTGTAGAAGTTGAGCCGGAGGGGCTTCCAGCTGTAATTTGGAAGGGCCAAAGATTTGTCAGGAGAAAGAGTGTGATGCCACTACACAAGGACAACACTTTGGTGCCACCTTTACTGACATGGCTCCATCCTCTGGAACCCACGATTTGCAGTTTCAGGAAGACCTTATACGTCTCGGTTAGGGGGCTTCAGCTGTGTCGCTCAGGAGAAATGGGCTGAGCAGTGGTTCTCACACTGGGGGTTCTCTCTCAGACGTTTGGCCTCCTGCTCCCAGGGAGTCCATCCCGTGTAGCCACGGGTCCTGGGATTCACAGGATGGAGCCGTGGCAATCAGAGAAGTAGGAATCCTGTCTGGTTGAGCACGTTCCTGAATCAGGAGTGAAGCAAGTAAACACTGTCACTGGTGAAATAAATATACACAGGGTTCCTCCCGTTACGCTTTTGGAAGGGAGTGGGATTCTGACTTGGCGTAACGTGCCCCCTCCCCATTGTATATGCCACGCAACCGTTCCCCATCGCTTAGCCTGGGCCTTCCTCTTGCTCCACTCTAGTTTGGAAACGGAACGGAGAGTTTGTGGGCGCTGCACTTGAACCGGGTGGCGCCACGTGCCTTCCCCTCGCCTCCGCCCTTTGCGATGCCTCGGCGACGACGCCTTCCTTCCCCAAGACGCTTCGCAGATGCTGCTGTGTGGTTGTGTCTGTGTTTTGAAGAGACGTTCAGGCCTTTTTTTCTCCTCTCTTCCTTCTTCATCCGGTTTCAGGTGGGATGGTTGGGCTGTTTTGGGTGCGTGCAGGGTGCTCGTGGTGTGAAAGCAGTGTGTAGTTCAGAAGCCGCAAATTCCATGTGCCTGTTCGGCCTCTCTTTCCGGAAACGAAGTGCCCTTAAGTGTCTCCCCTTTCCTCCTCCACCTTCCGCTCTCCCCTGCCCCAGACATCCCGAGGCGGGCAGGGAGATCCGTGGGTGCCTGTGTGTGCGTGCGCGTGCACCAGTGTGTAAAAGATAAAACTATCTTGCCAAATGATGACATTCCAATAAATCTCTCTTTCTCTCTCTCTTTCTCTCTTTGCAATTCACCTATAACAGTATTTCTCAACCTGGGGGTCAGGACCCCTGGGGGGGGGGGTCCGAGGGTTCGCCGAAGACCATCAGAAAACAAAGTATTTTCTGTATTGTCCAAGGCTTTCATGGCCGGAATCACTGGGTTGTAGGTTTTTTCAGGCTATATGGCCATGGTCTAGAGACAGGGGTGGCTCATCCATTACGCGAAGTAAGTGGTTGCAGAACACTTTTTTGCCAGGGGTGCAGAGGCGCCTCTGTAAATGCCCCTCGAGCGCCACTTCAGGAGTGCCCCCTCAGCTCACAACAGCCCTAGAAGTCCGGGAGGAGCCTCGGCTTTCTTGCCTTGCTGCCGGGCGATCCTCTTCCCAAAGGGGCCGGGCCCTTGAGCCTTCGCGCCCTCTCTTTCTTCCTTGGGTTTTTTGATCTTATTGATTTTGTTCTTCGTGATCGTTCGCTGCTCCACCCTAGCCACCTGGGTGCGGCTGACGGCAGGTAGCCGTCGCTCCCACTCGTTCTCGCTGTTTCGATCCTTCCCCATGACCGGCTCCCTTTCCCGATCCCCGGTGCTTCTCCTGGCCTCCTCTCCTCTCCCCAATCCGCGGGTGGGCCAAGGGGCGGAGCTGCCGCGCCTGGCCCACTTCGGGTCCGGAGGCGTGTCTGAAGACCCCAGCGTGCACACCAAAAGTCGCCTCTTCTCCTGACTTTCTCTTCAGCCATTGGGACCAAGAGAGAGAGAGAGAGAGAGAGAGAGCTCCTCCGGCTGGAGGTATCTCCCACCTCCGCTCCCTCCTTTGTTTTTGCGCCTACCTTCAGGAAAGGTGGGCATCTCCACCTCTGTCTCTCTCTCTCTCTCTCTCTCTCTTGGTCCCAATGGCTGAGGAGAAAGTCAGGAGAAGAGGTGACTTTTGGTGCACACGCTGGGGTCTTCAGGCACGCCTCCGGACCCAAAGCGGGCCAGGCAAGGGAGCAAATGCGGCAAGTGTAGTTACTGGGATGTATAGTTCACCTACAATCAAAGAGCATTCTGAACTCCACCAATGATGGAATTGAACCAAATATGGCACACAGAACTCCCACGACGAACAGAATATATATATCAATGATTGGTTGGGGGGGGGGCCAAAATACTGTTTGCTTATCATTGAAAATTACCTAGGGCCGCCTCTGTCTAGAGGCATTCTCTCCTGACGTTTCGCCTGCATCTATGGCAAGCATCCTCAGAGGTTGTGAGGTCTGTTGGAATTATATGCCATTATATGCTAATTGAAACATTCACACCCAGCTCCAGCAGACAAGAGTCCTTTGTCCCACCCTGGACATTCCACAGATATATAAACCCATTTTCCTACTTCCAACAGACCTCACTCCCTCTGAGGATGCTTGCCATAGATGCAGGTGAAACGTCAGGAGAAAATGCCTCTAGAACATGGCCATATAGCCCGAAAAAACCTACAACAACCCAAGTACTTTCTCTTGGTTATCTGGGTTACGTGTGGAAAGTTAGGGTTCAATTCTATCATTGGTGGTGTTCAGAATGCTCTTTGATTGTAGGTGAACTATAAATCCCAGCAACTACAACTCCCAAATGCCAAATTTTCCCCCAAACTCCACTAGTGTTCGCATTTGGATATATTGCGTATTTGTGCCAAATTTGGTCCTGATCCATCATTGGTTGAGTCCACAGATGTAGATGAACTACAACTCCCAAACTCAAACCCTGCTAGTGTTTTCTGATGGTCATGGGAGTCCTGTGTGCCAAGATTGGTTCAGTTCCATCATTGGTGGAAATCAGAATGTTCTTTGATTGTAGGTGAACTATAAATCCCAGCAACTACATATCCCAAATGACAAAATCAACCCCCCAACCCCACCTGTATTCAAATTCCAGTGTATTGGGTATTTGTGCCAAAAGTGGTCCAGTGAATGAAAATGGGTCCTTCATATCAGATATTTACATTACGATTTATAACAGTAGCAAAATTACAGTTATGAAGTAACAATGAAAATAATTTTATGGTTGCGGGTCACCAGAACATGAGGAACTGTAATAAGGCGTCACCGCGTTAGAAAGGTTGAGAACCACTGACATATAAGTTGAGTATCTTTGTGAAGGAGGCTCATCGTTGCCCCCATTCCTCCCGTGCAGACCACAAAGGATGGATTGGGCGTGGCAGGTGTCTGTCAGGAGGAGCTTCAGTCACACTCCAAGCAGAATTATGAGATGGCTATGACTCGCACTTTTCTCGACGCATTTTATCTCGCAAAGGTCAAGTTTTCCCCCTTGACTATGAAGTCCAGTCTGTGCGGCGACTGCTGGGACTCTGGGTCCCCCAACCCAGCTCATTTCCTATTTCTAATGCCAAAGAGCTGGCGTTGTCGCATGCTAGTTTACACCCTGTTAGTCCAACGGTCATGTGGGGGCCACTGGGCTATGACTGCATGGAGCGGGCTGTTACCTCCCGGCGCGAGAGGGGTAGCCGGTAATATAGGATCTTTGATTATTATTATTATTATTATTATTATCATTAACTTTATTTGTACCCCGCTAGCATCTCCCGAAGGACTCGATGCGGCTTACAAAGGCCAAGGCCTCAAAACACAACATAACAATACAACACCTAAAGCAAATTAAAAACAGTTAAAGCATATTAAACAACAAACAATAAACAATACAACAAAACACTATAAAACTGGGCCGGGCCAGAGTAATGGGTACAAGGTTAAAAGTGCTGATGTGACAGGTGATATGTAAGGATTATAGGGTAAGTGCAGTGTGCAGTGTGCGGCAATCTTAATTCTAATAAAGTGCTTCTGGGACTTGGTATTGGAGATTTCCTATTCAGGGAAGGCACATCGGAACAGCCAGGTCTTCAAGTTCTTTCTGAAGACTGCCAATGTAGGGGCCTGTCTAAGATCTTTGGGGAGGGTGTTCCAGAGTCGGGGGGCCACCACGGAAAAGGCCCTGTCTCGTGTCCCCACCAAACGCGCTTGCGATGCCAATGGGATTGTGAGCAGGGCCTCTCCAGATGATCGAAGAGAATGTGTGGGTTCATACACAGTGATGTGATCACGCAGGTAGGCAGGTCCCAAACCGTTTAGGGCTTTGTAGGTAAGAACCTGCACCTTGAATTGGGTCCGGAAAATAAATGGCAGCCAGTGGAGCTCCTTGAACAGGAGGGTTGACCTCTTTCTGTAAGGAGCACCAGTTAACATCCTGGCTGCTGCCCGTTGGACCAGTTGGAATTTCCAAGCCGTTTTCAAGGGCAGCCCCACGTAGAGCGCATTACAGTAGTCCAATCTAGAGGTGACCAAGGCATGGACCACCCCGGCCAGATCAGCCTTTCGCGAGGTATGGTCGCAGTTGGCGCACGAGTCTCAATTGTGCAAAAGCCCTCCTGGACATGGACACCTGAAGTTCGATGCAAGAGGACATTTCGTCGACGGCGCTTGACTGCGGACGTTCTGTGGCGTTCAGGGGAGTGTAACGTCCCGGGGAAGGTCCAACTCAGTTGCCACGCTGTAATAACCCTTACTCCGCGGCATTGGTCTCAGGTTTTTACGATCAGAAGCCGCCATGGAGACCCTGTCTTGTCGGGATTGGATCTTGCAGCTTGTTCGCTCCTCATCCAGACGTAGAGACACAGCGGGGATCCTCAGCTTGTTCCCTCCTCATCCAGATAGACACAGCGGCCAGGCACTCGTCCAGCACTCGAGGGGCCTCCTTGGAATTGGGTGGAAAGGAGTCGTAGAGTTGTGTGTCATCCGCATAGAGGTGGCACCTAACTCCAAAACTCCGGATGACCTCTCCCAGCGGTTTCATGTAGATGTTAAAGAGCATGGGAGACAAAATAGAGCCTTGGATCTACTTGCATTTGCATGTTTTCGAACTGCTAGGTCGGCAGAAGCTGGGGCTAACAGCGGGAGCTCACCCCGCTCCCCAGTTTTGAACCTGCGACCTTTTGGTCAGTAAGTTCAGCAGCTTGGCAGTTTAACCCATTGCACCACTGGGGATTCTGGCATTGGAAAGTGTCCCATGGTCACACTTTTCTGACGGTGAGTAGTTCAAAACACAAACTGAAATGGAAATTATTCCACTGGGATGATATATACACTCCACTTGCCCCACTTCCAACACAACCTCTGGAGATGCCATGAGCGTAGATGCAACTGGAACAAGGCTAGAGAGCCTGAAAACCTCACGGCAACCCAATGATGTTGGCCATGAAAGCCTTGGACTACACAAAACGAAATCCTTTTGCACTCCTGAATCCCCTTGGGGAGAGATAGAGGGCAGGATAGAAATGATGATGATGATGATGATGATGATGATGATGATGATGATGATGACATTCGTGGCTACACTTTTTCCAGCAATGAAGGTGAGAAAAGGCCAACCGAACCCATTGCTCTGGCCCTTGGCTTTCCTTGTGAGCATTCGGTGCAGCCACATTGCTCTTGCCGCAACCGCATCCAGGTAGCGCACCAACCCGATCTTGGCTCCTGTTTTACCAGACCCTTCAGGACATAATGGGATGGGAAAGAGCGCTCTTAATTATTGATTTTGGAGGTTCGGAAGCACCATTGGGAAGAGAAACAAAGATTGGGGTGCCATATGCTCCCATTATTTGAGGATTCCCAAGTGCTCTGGAGGGAGGAGGAGCTTGTGTCGTTTCTGCACAGAATACACGTTGTGATTGAGATGCATTCCCTGCACAGAAAACATAGGAAAAGGGTGTTGCAAACCACCTCTGATTCTGCACCAACCAGTCACCAACTGAGCATAATTCAGGTGGTGTGTCACTTCAAGAAAAAAACCATAATTTCGCAATATTTAGTTTAAATAACAAAAAATATATAATTATAATTCCCACTTTCTCTCTTATCATGTTGTTCTACCTCTCTTTATGTAAATAATATCCTTTTTGGAGTGTTTAAAAAAATATAATTTTAAAAACCCAACAAAATATTATTTATTTTTAATTTAATTTAAATGTATTTTTAGCATTTAATATGCTGTTTAATGTATTTCTAATAATAATAATGCAATAATAATAAAGTAAGATTGCAAAATAATATTTTAATATTTAATTTACCATTTCATTTAAGGCATATATTAAAATATTAAAAATGCATTAATTAAAATGCATATATATAAATGTATAATTATATGTATTATATTAGTATAATAATAATAATAATGCAAAATAATATTTTGATATTTAATTTACCATTTCATTTAAGGCATATATATATATATATATATATATATATATATATATATTAAGGCATATATTAAAAATATTTAAAATGCATTAAATTAAATGTCAAATTAAAATTCAATTTACCATTTCATTTAAGGCATTCTGAAATATTTGAGTAATATAGCAAAGTATTATTTATCATTTAATTTAATTTAAATATGTAACTCCTTAATATTTAGGAAACAATGCAAAATAATATTCGTTTACTTAATAATTAAATAAACCAATATTATTTTGCAATGTTACCTAAATGTTAATGATAATTAAATATTTTTAAATTTGACTTTTAATTTAATGCATTTTAATATTTGAATAATATAGCAAAGTAATAGTATTTATCATTCAGTTTAAATATGAAACTCCTTAATATTTAGGTAACATTGCAAATAATAATTTCTTTCTTATTTATTTTTTTAAAATGGCATAAAATAAATAAACAAATAATATCCGGCGGGCGCGTGTCAGTAGAAATGGCTACGCGTGTCAGTACTGACACGCGTGTCATAGGTTCGCCATCACGGGCCTAGACACTGCCCACTTCCCATGGCCCCATAAATAAACAAAAATAATATCTGGCGGGTGCATGTCCGTAGAAATGGCTACGCGTGTCAGTACTGACACGCGTGTCATAGGTTCGCCATCACCGTCCTAAGCAGAGAAACTCCAGCAATGGTTCTGCATCGAAGCATTGAAGAAGTCAAAGGATTTGCAGGCTCTCTGGTTCTTTCCTGTGACTGGTGAGCTCCTGGAAAGGCCAGGTTTCTCCCTCCTCGCCCGCCTTTCTCTCCTCCCCACACAATGGGTCACAACCAGCACCTGATCCTCAAGTGACATGTGTCACCCCACAGTCCATTAGGCACAAACAAAGCCCTCCCTCAGCTGTTGGAGCTCCCATTAAGACCATTAAGACGCCTTGGCTTCTGCTCCAGATGCTTTTCGAACGTTCTGGTGGAGAATGAACAGCCCAGGCGCACCACTCGCTTGCCTCTGAGCATGGGGAGAGTGCTTTCCTCAGGGTTGAATGTCGCCCAACACTTGGCTTGTATGTTCTACGAATTCCAAGGAGAAAGACATACCTAAATCCACGACTTGGTTGTTTGCTGTCTGGGATCCTTCTGTTTCTGAGGGCTGTTCTTTATTTACTGTCTTCATTCTGGATTTTTTTAATACTGGGGGATTCCAGACAGCAAACAATCAAGTGCCAGTTATCACCTCCCAAACAAGGACGCCTCCAGGCACAGCAGCCAGGCTATCTCTATGCAGAGACCCTCACTTACTGACTTTGCAGATGCAAGGCTACTCAATACTTTGCAAGCTGGCTAATTGCAACATTCAAGCTTGCTCCAAACAGACAAGGGTTCTTTCTCCCACCCTGGACATTATTCCACAGGTTCGCTACTTCTATGCAGATACCCTCACTGATTGACTTTGCAAACTTCATGGCTACTCAATGCTATTCAAGCTTGCTAATTGCAACATTCACACTTGCTTCAAACAGACAAGGGTTCTTTCTCCCACCCTGGACATTATTCCACACTTGCTACCTCTATGCAGATACCCTCACTGATTGACTTTGCAAACTTCATGGCTACTCAATCTAATTCAAGCTTGCTCATTGCAACATTCACATTTGCTTCAACAGACAAGGGTTCTTTCTCCACCCTGGACATTATTCCACAGGTTCGCTACCTCTATGCAGATACCTCTCACTGATTGACTTTGGGCAAGACTTCATGCTACTCATGCTAATTAGCTTCTCATTGGCAGTGCGATTCTCATTTAGGGCTTCAATCAGACGAGAGTAAGGGTTCTTTCTCCCACCCTGGACATTATTCCACAGGTTCGCTACCTCTATGCAGATACCCTCACTGATTGACTTTGCAAACTTCATGGCTACTCAATGCTAATTGAGCTTGCTCATTGCAGCATTCACATTTGCTCCAAACAGATAAGGGTTCTTTCTCCCACCCTGGACATTATTCCACAGGGATATAAACACCCCACTTGCCTCTTCAGATACCATCACTGATTGCATTTGAAGCTTCATGTCTACTCAATGCTAACCAAGCTTGCTAACTGCAACATTCACACTTGCTCCAAACAGACAAGGGTTCTTTCTCCCACCCTGGACATTATTCCACGGGGATATATATACCCCACTTGCCTCTGCAGATACCCTCACTGGTTGACTTTGCAGCTGCAAGGCTACTCAATACTAACCAAGCTTGCTCATTGCCACATTCATGCTTGCTCCAAACAGACAAGGATTCTTTCTCCCACCCTGGACATTATTCCACGGGGATATATACACCCCACTTGCCTCTGCAGATACCCTCACTGGTTGACTTTGCAGCTGCAAGGCCACTCAATGCTAACCAAGCTTGCTAACTGCAACATTCATGCTTGCTCCAAACAGACAAGGATTCTTTCTCCCACCCTGGACATTATTTCACGGGGATATATATACCCCACTTGCCTCTGCAGATACCCTCACTGGTTGACTTTGCAGCTGCAAGGCCACTCAATGCTAACCAAGCTTGCTAACTGCAACATTCATGCTTGCTCCAAACAGACAAGGATTCTTTCTCCCACCCTGGACATTATTTCACGGGGATATATATACCCCACTTGCCTCTGCAGATACCCTCACTGGTTGACTTTGCAGCTGCAAGGCCACTCAATGCTAACCAAGCTTGCTAACTGCAACATTCATGCTTGCTCCAAACAGACAAGGATTCTTTCTCCCACCCTGGACATTATTTCACGGGGATATATATACCCCACTTGCCTCTGCAGATACCCTCACTGGTTGAGGGTATCTGCTACTCAATACTCAATACTAACCAAGCTTGCTCGTTGCCACATTCACACTTGCTCCAAACATAAAAGGGTTCTTTCTCCCACCCTGGACATTATTCCACAGGTATTTATACACTCCACTTGCCTCACTTCCAAGAGACCTCTGATGCAGGCGAAATGTCAGGGAAGAATGCTGCTGAAACATAGCCATACAGACCAAAAAACTCACAGCTACCCAATGGTATTGGCCATGAAAGCCTTCAGCAACACATTGAATACCAGCCGTTCTGTCATCTCCTGGTATTGGCACAGCCCGTTTCTCAGCGGATCGGGCCCAATTCATTTATTTACTTGGAACAGATGTGAGAGGGATCTATCCTAAGCAGGTTAAGAAGCGGCGGACTTCCAAGCGTGAGCTCCCAAGATGCTTCTCCACGCCTCTGCAAAGCCTGGCGATGAGTCCACAACAAGAAAGGCTGGAAAGATTGACAAACAATGATTGAGAGAGACTGGGAAGGGGAGCACGAGATCCATTTAAAGTGGGTTGCCGCACCAACTGAATGCCATCAGTCCTGCCCGTTTAATGCCAGATCTTGAAGAGGTGCTGACATATCCTCAGCTCCTTCCATCTTCTTGTCCTCCTGAAGAAATTACTGAATCTTTGTGGGGTGGAAGGCATTGCTTGAAACGGCCCCTCTCATAAACCTGGAGAATAAGAGACATAAGTCTGTAAGTGCACTATACAGCTCACCATGGCGCCATCCAGATGTTTTGGGGTATATGTACCACCAGCATGGTCTGGGATGGATATGGAACAGACGACAGCGGGCAGGGGAAACAAAGACTTGTGGCAATGTGTTTGCGGTAAACAAGGTAATAAAGAATAGGAGTCTGTTGTAGCTCTGTATGGTAAACTCCAACAGGCAAGGTAAACAGCAGCTGCCCCAGAATCCGACCGGTTATCCATAAACAAACAGAAAGGACAGCATAGATTAACCTGCTTCACCAGTATTCCCCAGCAGATTATGATACTGTGAATCATCGCCTTCTCCTGGGAAAAATGTATAATATCACAAAGGATTACCGCCTCACCTGCTTCTGCTACAAAACAGGAGCTTTTTTGTTGAGTTCCTGAAAAAGAGATGGTGGAAACAGAAGAACAGCCTGCCTCAGGGGAGCGTGCTTTCTCCATCAATGTTTAGCATTTACACAACTGACCAGTTACTGCCAGAAGGGACAGAGAGTGTAATCTATGCTGACGATCATGCCATCACCACTCAAGCAGGGAGCTTTGAAAGGGTTGAACAGAAGCTCCCCAAAGCTTTAGGTGCTCTTACTGCCTATTACAGGGAAAACCGGCTTATTCCTAATCCATCTAAAATGCAGACATGTGCTTTTCATCTTCAGAACAGACAGCATCTCGAGCTCTGAGGATGACCAGGGAAGGAGTCCCAC